AGTATTTGACCTGTAGGCCTGAAAGTTTACAAGTATGTTGGTCAGCATGTGTACTTATGCAACTTGAGGTTTGCTTGTGGTTATATTCAGTATTTGTAAAATTCTTTCCCTTTACTTGTTGCACATGTAGCAAAAAAAATATTTGACTTAGAGTCATAAGATTGACAAAACAGCGGAGTATGGGGGCATCCGTGTCCTATGGACACATTTCTTATTTATGCACTGTTATTACGTGAACATGTGTAATCTTAGCGTCATAAAAGGAAAAGGAAACATACTTTGTGCTTTGTGTTATTATATATGTAATCTGAATATTCAAATCTGACAAAGAAATATGTGGTATTTTCCATTAACAGGAAACATAAATACTAGTATACAGAATCTGGAACAAAGTATACTTTGTTGACTTATCACTGCCTTTTTCTATTTTCTTAAAGTATTCTAAGCAAGTTGAAATATTTTTATCCAAAACAATTTGCTTGAATTAATGACTACAGTAGTTTAAATTATCCGTGCATATACCTTGCAAAAAAAATCTAACAGAAAAAAGATCTTGTACTAAATCGCCAAACATGTTCTTTTTGTATTTTTGTTTTTTAATAGAATATAAACATTTTAACCTCTGCATCATTTAAATACATTTGTATGATGATCTGTTTGTGAAAGATACAAAAAAACAAACTTCGACATAACAATGCCAACATTTTGTGTGTGTACATTTTTTTTTATGTTTTTCTTCTTTTTTTCCAATTTTATTAGTCCCCTACCGGTTTAACCGGAGGGGACTTTAGGTTTACCCTCCGTCCGTCTGTCTGTCTGTCCGTCTGTCTGTCCGTCTGTCTGTCTGTCTGTCTGTCAGTCTGTCAGTCCGTCCGTCCACAAAACTGGATCCCGCGATAACGCAAAAAGTACTGAAAATATTTTTATGAAACTTGATATATGGATAGATGGCAGTATGGAGATTATGCACGTCTTTTTTTTTTCTTCCTATGTTGAAAATTCTGGTTGCTATGGCAACAAATAGTCTGAAAATATGGCAAATTTAACACATAAACTGGATCCAGTGATAACTCAAAAAGTACTGAAAATATTTTTATGAAACTTGAAATATGGGTAGATGGCAGTCTGGAGATTATGCACATCTTTTTCTTTTCTTCCTATGTTGAAAATTCTGGTTGCTATGGCAACAAATAGCCTGATTTTCAAGATTTCTGATTTAAATTTTTCAGCTTTTTCACTATATGTTCTTTATTTCTTAAGGTGTTTACTTCAAACTTTAAATATAAGTTTCTGGTCATCAACCACATCATATGTGACAAGGTTTATAACTCTAGCACAAAAAATATCAGTATTACCGCCCTTGAACTTAGATTTTTTAGGGGAAAAAATGTTGTCTTTTTTAAATAACTTCTTTATTTCCTAATGTATCTACTTCAAACTTCATATATATGTTTCTTATTATCACTCGACATTTTTGAGAAGGTTAAATACTCTAGCAAGACTATTTCCAGAATTATGTCCCCCTTGAACTTAGATTTTTTTCGAGAAACTGGTATTTTCACTTCAACTTCTTCATTCCTTATAGGATTTACTTTAAAATCCCACATCGTAATAATATGACAAGGTTGTATAAACATAATTTCCTTACTAAGCATGGAAACTTAACACATTACTGTGATATAGACAAACTTATTTTATTATGTTTTGTGGTTGATATTTTCAAATACAGACTTCATCCTCAAATTCATTATAAATGGCAATACACAGGAGTGTATGACAATTAAAGAACTTTTTGAGGGACCGGTAGGGGACTACTGTATTGCCCGCAATACTATCAAATGCTTGTTATATTTTATTTATTTTATTTTATTTATTTAATATGTTTTTTTTAAGTCATTGTAAAATATTAAAAGTAAGTTCTCCGCAGTGATCGCCGACAAATATCATATGAAACAGGGAAATATCCTGTATTCAAGAAAAAAGTCTTCTTTCAAGGTAATATTTGTGGCAAAATTCATTTTTTCATTGAAAGGAGCAAAATTGGGATACAATGCAAAAAATTTTTGCACATTGCTTGCACATCATACATGTGACAACTGAAATGGGCCAAAACTGGATTTTCAGCTGGATTTTGGGGCTCAAAACTGGATTTTTTTATCGACTTAAATTTCAATGCGCGTTAAGCAAATTTGGTAGAAACCTTTTACACAAAGACCATTTAACAATAATAATGACAGAAAGTAAAAAGTAAAGTTTCTATTATTTTATTCATGATCTAATCAAGCACATTTAACAAAACAAAAACATAATACTATTACATGTCCTATATCTAATTTCTAGTCACATTTCAATATCAATGTCACATTAGTTCTTTCTGGAACAATCACATTCCTTTATCAATCATTGTCATCACATCACTTCTCTAATGTCATCACATCACTTATCTTTATACAGTTGGCATGCATTTTTAACAGCAGTCATGAGTGACTTTTAGTGACTTTTCAAAAATATGCCAGGAAAGGGCTTGACAAATCATATTATTCTCCATCGTAAAATAATTATACAAAACGTGCTAAAATAATTAAAGTAGATCAAAAGACGAATAGTTTTTCTCTGACAGTGTCCTATTATCCGGACATAAACATCTTTTGGACATCACAAAATACCGCCGCGTATTAAACAAATCCGCTAATTGCAGTCAGGTGGCTATTCAAAGACACACTTAACGTGTGATTTCAATAATTATTATCCAAACAAACAATCAATTATCCAATTATCCAATAAACAATATCATAAAGTGTCACTTGTTAATCCTCTCATTCGGCACACTTGGACACTTACGTCTGAGATAATCGGCACACTTTGACTTTACCGTAAGGTGCGAGATATGGAATTTTACCGACGATTTTTTTTTTTTTTTTGTTTTTTTTGTGAGAGACAAATATCGGGATTTCATAAGCTGATATCGGGAATCGGGATTAGGGTCTCAATATCGGGATTTTTTAAAATCCCGTCGGGATATCACATGTATGGCACATGTATTAAAAATAAAAAGTAAATAATCATAATGGCAACTGGAATACAGGGTAAAGTAAAGTTCATAGCAGAACTGATGTTTAAACAGTAAACATGTATACTGTAAAATCATTATTATTCGTGGGGCACGAATTTTCGTGGTTTTCGTGGGTAGGTCAATCTACGAATTTAAGATCCGACGAACTTTTATCCCATCAAATACTTCTTACCCTGTCTCTGTTCTATCTATTACAAACATGCGTCGGCTCTTTTCCGGCCGATATTTCGTGAAATGAATGTAAACTTGTACAGACAGATAACCAGGTTAGTGACATATTAAATCCGTTTGCAATATTTAAAAAACTTGAAAGAAAACTTGATTATATGTCACAAATGTCGCATATACATACTTGATCGTTGTAGTCTACTAGGACTTGATTGTGTTTACAAGAATACTTGACATAATCGAGTTAATATGGAAACCCAGGCAGTGCAATAATTAGCGCTAATAAAAATTGTTCGTTTGCTCTTATTAATTTAAAAAAAAGTCTTTGATATTAATGTCGTAAGTACACAAAACTATAAAAAAAATACGATCGCTAAAACAGATTTATTGTACATTCTTCTGTCGTTTTTAAATGATCCAGTTTATATGAATTTTAATCAGTATTTGTGCGATTGCTATTCCGTAAACATCAAAGACACCACCGACTTTTACAAGATCCACATAAACTCGTGTTACTTACCGAGAATGATTTATATGCATGTAAATTTACACAGTCGCTGTGACGTTGCGTGTAGTTACTGTCAAATATGTTAAGTGTAAACTTTTAAACTCGCTGGTTAAAACGTGCCAGGTGTCGTATAAATTATGCGATGTTTACATCGGCGAATTACAGGGGCATTGTGTCCAATGGAGGTGCATATCATGTCAAATAAATGTGTTAATTGTAGTCAATTATCGGCAGTTACTGTGCTGTATTAGAGTTATACCCAGAGGCAAGGATTAAATTAATTGACAACTGCTGTGTGACAAGTAAAGATATGTACATGTTGTAAGTAAAAATGTTCGGCGATTAAGATTACTTTGCATTAGGTTACTGAATTTTTTTTTTTACAAGAAAACGAAAATCCACGAATTTAAGAACCCACGAAAATGCCCGTTTTGATAAAACCACGAACTTTCATGCCCACGAATATAAGTGAATTCGCAGTATATCTTTTTAGCAGTCATGTAAATATTTACAAAAATTGTAAACAAGGAAGCCTTAGTTGTTATATTGATTTCTAGCTGAATTCTGAATATGGGTCATCTTGGGTAAAAAACTAGGCTACAAAGTGCAAATAAATATAGAAAAACCTTGTTTTTTTAAACACCATACATGTAATATTTTCAGCCCAGATATCCTGGAAATTTGTCAGCCATTTGTTTAAATAATTTCTTGCTCAAGATTGAATATGGGTCATCTGGAGTCAAAAACAGTTATTAGGTGACACAGCCCAAATATAGAAAATCTTTGTTTACATTTGCATTATTTTAGAGGCTGATATCAGTTATGATTAAGACATTGTAATTTTCTGCTTTTCATTTAAAGTTGACAATATTATTTTTTCCATTTTTGCCGTATTGTTTGGGTCATTTTGGAAAAGACACAAAATGTTCTGAAAATTTGCACAAAAATTATTTGTCATCAAAGTCATCAAATTTTTAAAAAGTATTTTCAGTCCCTTGGTTTCAAATAAAACTCAAGTGGAGTGTCTTTAAAATATTATTACTAGTTCTAGCAATTGATTTCAAGGACCTTCTTGGCCTTGCTACAAATTATGAATGGAGATTGCTTAAATGTTGTCATGACACTCTGTGGCTGTCATAAAATATCTATCTGAGAAAATGATTATTGGAGTTTGAAATAATTTGTGTACACTTCTGCAAAATTATTGTGTAGTCTTTATTCAAGCTAATGAGTCTTTTTATGATATTTCAGAATTTGTTAGATTTAAAGAGAATTAATCTGGGTTACAACTTGTTGAAGTCAGTGCCTCAGTTTTCATCTGTCAATAAATTGAAAATTAAAACACTGGTATTGCGCAATAACAACCTTGAGGATTTGGATGGTAAATATCTTTTATTTTTGTCTGATTTTAAAAGGAAATTAGTTGTATATATGGGAGTGAGCTTGTCAGTCTGTTGGACAGTCAGTGGGTCTTGTTGTTCACAGCTGTTAACTACAGTTAGGAATTAGATATTGTGTTCAACCTTGGTATAAAGCAAGCTTATAAAAGATTTTTCATGGGATTGCTTTGATGCCCAAAAGGTCAAGGTAGCTATTACTTCAAGAAGAGTTTAGAAAAATGGTTTCAAAATGATCACAGATTAGTATATAGCAAGCTCTTGTAGAGAACTGATTTGGAATTGTTTTTTGACCACCAAGACTAAAGGTTACTATTGTTTAAGACTTATCAGTAACTATAGTTAGCAATGAGATATTGAAATGAAACTTACTATATAGCATGCTAATGTAGAGACCTTGCTAGGGAATGCTTTTCAGTCCCCTAATGATTTCCAGATGATAATTAAAGTAAGGAATGAGATTTTAATCAAGCTTGGTATATAGAAAACCTATGTGGAGACCATACGTAATATTGCTTTTGGGCCCTCTAGAGTCAAGGTCAATATTAAAAAATATAGAAAAGTGGTTTATGGAGAAACATTAAAATAAGAAATCAACCTTATCATATAGCAAGCTTATTTGGAGACCTGGCTTGTAATTACTTTTTTACCCCCTACGGTCAACGTCATATGACAACAACAGACACTACCTGTGGTACTACCATAAATGTCATTTAAACCAAAATTTTTAGTAATAATTGTTATTTATTTAAATTTTATGCATTAAATGCCTTTGATTAATGCCTTCATAAAAAAAATAACATATTTGAAAAAAAAACGCCTTTGTAAATAATTGATTTTGTACAAAAATTCTATAAATTTAAATTGTCCATATCAAAGTCATTTTAAGCTCACATGAGCTTCTGTGATCACAATTTGTCCAGCTTCCATCATTCATCAGTGTGTCCATGCTTTAGTGTGTCTGTCGTCAACTTTTTATACAATGACTGAGAAAGAAACCACTCGGCCTTATTTGATGAAAATTTCCTGAGCTGTCCATTGCATAAAGTTCTAAAAATGAAAATGTTCAAATGGTTATGCTCAATGGAACATCAGGATCAGGAGGTCTAAAATAAATTTTTAAATGAAGTCTTTTAAATTTTCTCTGAAAGTGCAAGGCCTAGAGCTGAGATATTTTGTTCAAATTGTAGTCTTGGGGTCAAAATTTGCCCCATCTTCTTGTATGTATATAGTAAGAACTTTAAAAATTTTCTCTGAAAGGACAAGGCCTTGAGCTTAGATATTTGTGTGTAACATCATCTAATGAAATTCTACAAAAATTGTTCAAATTATAGCACGGATCAAAATTGGCCTCGCTTGAGGGGTCATTGATTTTCCTTATGCGACTTATATAGTAAAAACTTAAAAAATCTGTTTTGATGAAGGCTAGAGGTTAGATATTTGGCATGAAACATTGTTTAGTAGACCTCTACCAAGATTGTTGAAATTATAGCCCTTGTGTCAAAATTGGCCCTGCCCTGTTGGTCATGTACATATAGTAAAAACTTAAAAAATCTTCTCCTGAAAGTGCAATGCCTAGAGCTGAGAAATTTTGTGTGTAGCATCATCTAATGAATCTCTACAAAAATTGTTCAAATCATAGCACTCAGGTGACAAAATTTGCCTCACCCCAGGGGGTCATTGATTTTTGTTATATGTAAATAGTAAATACTGCAAAGGCTAGAGGTTAGATATTTGGCATGAAACTTTGTGTAGTAGACCTCAACCAAGATTGTTCAAATTATTTCATTATGTACATACAGTAAAAACTTAAAAAAAATCATCTTTTCTGAAGATAAAAGGCTTAGAGCTTTGATATTTGGTAAATGATATCATTTTTATGTCATCTAACAAAGTTGTCAAAGTTTTTCTCTAGTGTCAAAATTGGCCCCACCCTGGGGGCCATAGGTTTCCAAATATGGAAAAACACTATACTGGACTACTGTTTCAGTCCAAATATCCTTAAAATTGAAAGGTTGTTTTGATGATTTCTAGGGCATTTTCGAATATGGGTCATCTGGGATGGAAAATTAGGTCACACAGCTCAAATATGGAAAAACCTTGTTTACACTTCCGAGGATACTGTTTTAGTTCAGATATCCTTGAAATTGGTCAGAAAGGTTGCTTGTATGATTTCTAGCTGGAGTTCAAATATAGTTCATCTGTTGTCAAAATTAAGTTACACAGTCTAAATACGGAAGAACCATGCTATTAACACTGTAGAGGATACTTTTTTTTTCCAAATATCCTGGAAATTAGTCAGAAAGGTTATTTAGATGGATTCCAGGTCATGTTTGAATATGGGTCATCTGTGGTCAAAAGCTAGGTCACACGACCCAAATTATGGAAAAATATTGTTTACATTCTAGAGGTAATAAAGAAGGACTTACATCAGTCTTGCGGTCAACCCTCCATATATGAAAAAAAACCTTATTAACATTTGCACTATTTCAGGTGCAGAAATAAATGTTATGACATCAGTTTAAGTTCATGGCATTATATCTGCTTTTCATTCATTGCAAATAATTTTGATTTAGTGCCTTAAAAATCATTGTGCAATATAAGGGTCATCATGACCCTCTTGTTTCACATATGCGATCTTGTTGTTTTATGATGCAACCTTTTTTATGCCACCGCAGCATCTGTGATGCTGTGGCATATGGCGATTCACCTGTGTGTGTGTTTGTACGTATGTGTGTTATGTAGATTATATAGTGAACTTAAAAAATCTTCTTGTGAAAAACCACTAGTCCAATTTCAAATAAACTTGGCAGGATTGATCCTTGGGTGAAGGGCTTCCAAAGTTGTCCAAAGAATTTCATTCCATGCAAAAATCTGGTTGCCATGGCAACCAAAAGGAATTATTAGAATAAATTAAAAAAATCTTCTTGTAAAGACCAACAAGGCCTAGAGCATAGATATTTTGCATAAGGCATTGTCTGGTAGGCCTCTACCCAGATTGTTCAAATTATAGTCCTGGGGTCAAAATTGGCCCCGCCCCGGGGGGTCATTGATTTTCACTATATGTACATATATTAAAAACTAAAATACCTTCTTATCTGAAGGTACAAGGCTTAGAGCTTTGATATTTGGTATATACTATCATCTATAGGTACTCTACAGAAGTTGTTCAAATTTTGCCTCTAGCGTCAAAATTAGCCCTGCCCCGGGGGTCATAGGTTTTCCTCATATGTATATAGTAAAAACTTAAATCAAAGCACAAAAGGCGCTTAATTTGTTTGGGTCTCAGAATGTAAGAAAGGTGCAGGTTGTGAGATTATAAACCAATTTGTTTTTGTATAGTGCCACCAATGCTTTTCAGCGCTTCAATTGTAGTAAATTGGCTATAAGACTAATTGGAACACTGATATTCAATCCAATGTTTATTTGACTTAAACAATTTGAAAAAAAAAATGAGTTGCCTTAACTGGGATTTGAACTCAAGACCTCTCGCTTCTTAAGCGAGCGCGCAAACCCCTCGGCCACGGTGATTTAATATGTTAACGGCCTGAATTTATTCTAAATTAGGGTTTGTAACGACGCTAACTGTTGTTTAACACAGATGTAAATAATCATGAAGCTTACTATAAGCATGTAAATCTATAAAGAATAAAACAATATTAGAAATCTTCGACCATTCGGGAATTATTTTGCTTAAAATTAATGCGCCTGTCATTTGACCATCTTTACGCAGTGATCTCCCCTGAATTTTTCGGCGTTAGTGTACATATAAAGGGAAGTAACCCCTTCAAAAAAGCGGACTACTTTCGGCATTTGCAATTAACAGCATTAGAGTCTGAAATTTCGCTACCATTATTTGTTTGGTCTGACGACCCAAACAAATCAAAATCATCCTCTCTAAATTGACAAAGGTTAGAGGTTAGATATTTTGCATGAAACATTGTGTAGTGAACCTGCACAAAGATTGTTCAAATTATAGCCCTGGGGTCAAAATTGGCCCCGCCCCAAGGTTCACTATGTACATATAGTAAATTTTTTTAAAAATCTTATTGTCTGAAGGTACAAGGCTTAGAGCTTTGATATTTGGTATATGATATCATCTATACGTACTCTACAAATGTTGTTCAATTTTTGGCTCTAGTGTCAAAATTAGCCCCGCCCTGGGGGTCATAGGTTTTTAGCTCACCTTGCACAAAATGCAGTGGCCAAACAAATGTGTCCGTCGTCCGTCCACATTTTATTCAAACGACATCTTCTATAATACCACTTGGCCAATATTAATGAAACTTGGCAGGAATTATCTTTGTATGAAGCTCTATCAAGATTGTTCAAAGAAATTGCAATTCCATGCTAAACTCTGGTTGCTATGGCAACTTAAAGAAAAAAACTTTAAAGTTCTTATACTTCAAAATGGAAAGGGCTAGAGCTTAGATATTTCTCACAAGGCATTAGCTTGTTAGTTTCTACAAAGTATATTCAAATTATGGTCTAGAGTTGAAAATTGGTCTCTGTTTTAGGGGTTAAAGGGTTTTTTTATATAGACTTTCTTTGTAGGGATAAATTGTGATAGTGTATCTTGTATTTTTTGTTTCAACAGACATTGTTATGAAAAGCATAAGAAAGATGAAAAGTTTGTTGAATGTGAATGTTAATTCAAAACAGAGTCAATCAGAATAGCACAAATTTGAGAGCTACAGTGAAGTTGATTTCCCCATTCAATAATGGATTCTTCCATTAATTTCGTAACACCATCAGAAAGGAAGACTGTGTCATTTCCAAAATACAATGTAAAACATTTCGGTTCTTGACAATGACTTGCACATTTTAAAGAAACGAAAGTGAACAAAAAATGTTGTATTTTTTTTCACAAAAATTAGTTTATTTAGATAAAAGTTTAATTTACAGTACGGATATTACTTTTTTATCCTTCCGGTTAAATGCGGGAAAAATCATATATTTCAACATCGTACACCGGTCTTACTGA